ATTGTGACCTGTAGTGTGGTGAGTGAGTGAGATGGTGAGTGAATTAGTGAGTAGGTGAGCGGGTGGGTGAGTGAGTGAGTTATTGTGACCTGTAGTGTGGTGAGTAGGTGAGTGAGATGGTGAGTGAGTTATTAAGTAGGTGAGCGGGTGGGTGAGTGAGTGAGTGAGTGAGTTATTGTGACCTGCAGTGTGGTTAGTAGGTGAGTGAGATGGTGAGTGAGTTATTGAGTAGGTGAGCGGGTGGGTGAGTGAGTGAGTTATTGTGACCTGCAGTGTGGTTAGTAGGTGAGTGAGATGGTGAGTGAGTTATTGAGTAGGTGAGCGGGTGGGTGAGTGAGTAAGTTATTGTGATCTGCAGTGTGGTGAGTAGTTGAGTGTGATGGTGAGTGAGTTATTGAGTAGGTGAGCGGGTGGGTGAGTGAGTGAGTTATTGTGACCTGCAGTGTGGTGAGTAGGTGAGTGAGATGGTGAGTGAGTTATTGAGTAGGTGAGCGGGTGGGTGAGTGAGTGAGTTATTGTGACCTGCAGTGTGGTGAGTAGTTGAGTTTGATGGTGAGTGAGTTATTGAGTAGGTGAGCGGGTGGGTGAGTGAGTGAGTTATTGTGACCTGCAGTGTGGTGAGTAGGTGAGTGAGATGGTGAATGAGTTATTGAGTAAGTGAGCGGGTGGGTGAGTGAGTGAGTTATTGTGACCTGCAGTGTGGTTAGTAGTTGAGTTTGATGGTGAGTGAGTTATTGAGTAGGTGAGCGGGTGGGTGAGTGAGTGAGTTATTGTGACCTGCAGTGTGGTTAGTAGGTGAGTGAGATGGTGAGTGAGTTATTGAGTAGGTGAGCGGGTGGGTGAGTGAGTTATTGTGACCTGCAGTGTGGTGAGTAGGTGAGTGAGATGGTGAATGAGTTATTGAGTAAGTGAGCGGGTGAGTGAGTGAGTGAGTTATTGTGACCTGCAGTGTGGTGAGTAGGTGAGTGAGATGGTGAGTGAGTTATTGAGTAAGTGAGCGGGTGGGTGAGTGAGTGAGTTATTGTGACCTGCAGTGTGGTGAGTAGGTGAGTGAGATGGTGAATGAGTTATTGAGTAAGTGAGCGGGTGGGTGGGTGAGTGAGTTATTGTGATCTGCAGTGTGGTGAGTAGTTGAGTTTGATGGTGAGTGAGTTATTGAGTAGGTGAGCGGGTGGGTGAGTGAGTGAGTTATTGTGACCTGCAGTGTGGTGAGTAGGTGAGTGAGATGGTGAGTGAGTTATTGAGTAGGTGAGCGGGTGGGTGAGTTATTGTGACCTGCAGTGTGGTGAGTAGGTGAGTGAGATGGTGAGTGAGTTATTGAGTAAGTGAGCGGGTGGGTGAGTGAGTGAGTGAGTTATTGTGACCTGCAGTGTGGTGAGTAGGTGAGTGAGATGGTGAATGAGTTATTGAGTAAGTGAGCGGTTGGGTGAGTGAGTGAGTTATTGTGACCTGCAGTGTGGTGAGTAGGTGAGTGTGATGGTGAGTGAGTTATTGAGTAGGTGAGCGGGTGGGTGGGTGAGTGAGTGAGTTATTGTGACCTGCAGTGTGGTGAGTAGGTGAGTGAGATGGTGAGTGAGTTATTGAGTAAGTGAGCGGGTGGGTGGGTGAGTGAGTTATTGTGACCTGCAGTGTGGTGAGTAGGTGAGTGAGATGGTGAGTGAGTTATTGAGTAGGTGAGCGGGTGGGTGGGTGAGTGAGTGAGTTATTGTGACCTGCAGTGTGGTGAGTAGGTGAGTGAGATGGTGAGTGAGTTATTGAGTAAGTGAGCGGGTGGGTGAGTGAGTGAGTTATTGTGACCTGCAGTGTGGTGAGTAGGTGAGTGAGATGGTGAATGAGTTATTGAGTAAGTGAGTGTCTGGTAGACACCGAGATCAGCAAGCGAGAACCCCGGTAATAGCGACAGAAGAGCGATAAGAAGGCGACTGACTGCCAATGAGCGAGTGATTGCACCGTGAGATGATGGATCTCTGGAAAGGAGTATGTTAGGAGTAAGTGGAAGAGTTCAGTTAAGGAATTAATGACTAAGGAGAAGAGCGGGGACCTCACGGATGTCGCCGCTGCTGCTGCTGCCGCTGTTCGAGCGAAGGAGGTGGAGGGGAAATGGGACATGGGGAATGGGTGGGGGCAGCGTCTTGAGAGGGCGACTCGCGAGAGGTGAGAGACGAAACCAACCCCGGAGCGGGGAGCCGAGAGGAGGGGAAGAGACGGCGGGGGAGGGGGGTAGGCGGCGGGGGGGGGGGGGGGGGAGAGACGGCGGGATGACCTCGCAGAGACCGGAGGCCACCAGTGGACACGAGCCGCTGGGCAAACGCGAAGAACATAGTCGGGGGGGGGGGGGGGGAGGCGAGGCTTTTGTGCCCAGCAGTGGGACGTTACAGCTGACAGCAACAGCGATGAAATGAAATGGATGCTGCCACGGAGTGGGTGTCAACGGGCAGCAGCACCACCACCACCGCTTCTGGGCTTGCAATCCAGAGGTCACCGGTTCGATTCCATTTCCCGGCATGGCTGCTGACACAATGGTTGGGCGAGTTTCTTTAATCCCCGCTTCTACCCCCCCACTCACCCAGCCATCGCCGCTGCCCACGTCTCGGTCCACCGAGCAGTCTAAATCGGTAACGTCTATCGGCAGGTGGGGTAAAGTGTGAGTCCTCGCACATCCGTTAAGATGTCTCTGTCAGCGCGGAGCAGTTGCAGGGCTGCGCGCCAATGCCTTTTTTTTTTCGTGGAGAAATTCAAACAGAGATCTCCCATGTGTTCCTCCTGACCAGGACCCCGTATCTTTACGGAGAGGGATCTTGCAACTAAACATCGGGGCAGCCTCACTTCCATTGGTTCAAGTGAGCCTGCCTCTGCTGATGAGACACTGCATGTCGAAACCGGATCCGGAGGTTCGCTTGCATTCGAACCAATGTGCAATGGCCCAAGTGCCGAACAATATTCCCCCGTACAGCCGTAACAGACTGCAGGGGGACACGTGCCATGAGCGAGCAGCACCTACGAAGGCTGGCACGGCACACGAGGGGGGTGGGTGACCAGCAGCACGCCCTACCGGCCCAGAGGTCTGCTTGTATTGGAACCAAAGTTCTTGAAATTGTGCACACCCAGAAGACAAGATGTGTGAAAACATACCTTCGTGTTATTATTTATTTTATGCTGTAAGGACATTTATGCGTGAAGGAAGGCATCTGTGTGTCTGCTTGTTTATTTTCTCATCATTGACACACAAAAAAAACCCCAGTATATATCTCACTTGTTGTGCAGTTTCGATAGTTGGGATCAATGTTTTGGTCTCTGGGTAGTCTACGGTCGCAACATTTTGGCTGCTGCGGCGTGCCCCCTATTGCCGACCACTCACCAATCCGCCGTGTACCTCTCTGCCAGAAATGCCGGCCTGTTGATGGGTTTTTTTTGTGTGTGACAAGAGCAGATTTCACTCCGCAGCCCGCAATGATTAAATTGCTTGTTCCCCCCCCCTTCCCCCGCAGACAATGGAACAAAATCCACATTCTAATTAGGTTCACGCGTAATTAACCCCGAAGACATTTGGCAAACACCTAGTACCTTAATTTAATAGCAAATTGGCTACGAAAAGCAGCAATGCACACTTTATAGCCCACCCCACGTGACAGACCCCCCCCCCCCCCCATGTGACCACCGCTCCCGAGTGAATTGTTTCGCGTGCTGTGGGTGTCTGGCCACACGCCCACCCCCACCTTTAATAGGCGCTCTCTCACAGCACTTTCCTCACCAGCCCAAAAACGCTGTCCCAGAGATCTTTGTCTCTTGCGCTCACGCGCTACGAACCCGGCAGAGACACCCCTCCTGAGTTCGGGTAGCCGGTGACGGCTACCCGAGCCGGTCGTGGGTCGTGGGCGTCCCCTAGGTCGACTCGGCCTCAAATTACGAACCCGGCGCGGCGTGTCGCAAACGACTCCGCTGGGGAGACATCTGACCGCACCGCCGCCTCCGTTGTGCCGTGCTGCCCTTCGTAGGTGCTACCCGCTCACAGCACTTGGCCCAATAGCCTGGTGTAGGTTGTATACGGATGCGCTTTGTCTAGTGAGTAGCCTTAGGGTGAGGCTGCCCCGATGTTTAGTTGCAAGATCCTGTTGTTTGGCTAAAGAACCACGCTACGCTCAAGATTCCATGAGACCTTCGGCGTGAAAGTGGTCTTGGGTCCTGTGTGTGTCTCCATTTCTGTGTCCGCTATGCTCTATCTGGTGATAAAGGCCATCGTGTCTCTGTCACGAATAGTTGTTCACCGCGCCGTCTGTGCTATGAGTGTGTGTGAGTGTCCGTGCGTGTATTTATCGACGTGTGTGTATGTTTGCCCGTGTGTGTGCACGCGTGTGTGTGTGTGGGCAAATGCGTCTGCGTGTCCGTGTTTGTACAAGCGGGAGTGTAGTGGTTAGCGCTCTGCCGCTATGAACTCGGCGACCCCAGCTCGACTCCCCCTCACGGCCAATATCAGTGCCGATTATCTAAACTGCTCCTGGCCCTCCCCTAGGTCGACTCAGCCTCTAATGAGTACCTGGCGCGGTGTGTAAACATCGCCAGTAGGTAGACAAAGGCGGTCGGGCGTGGTGCTGGCCACCCACCCCCTCGTGTACCATCTCGGCCTTCATAGGTGCTCACTAACAGCACTTGCCCCAACAGTCTGTTCAAGCCTACAGGGGGGTCTTTGTCTTTTGTGTGCATGTATGTTTGTTCATATGCGTGTGTGCGTGCTCGCACGTAACCACGGTTATCACTCTTTTGTACGACGTTCGAAACCCCCCCCCCCCATAATTATCGACCTCCTATAGATATTATAATTTTTTGAACTCGTTCGATTTGCTTCGTACCGTCTCCCATTAGCTGACGATTCCGACGATGGGGGGGCTGCTCCCCTCACCGCCCGAACTCCAGCCGACTGAGCTGCACAGCATAAAAAAAAGAACTCCGTGAGTTGCGTTGCGATTGACACCGGAGCCTTCGTCCCTGACTTCTGCGTGCAGACAGGAGCCATGGCGGCCTCACGGTGGAGCGGTGTCAATCCTTGGACCTGGAGACGTTCACCTGCTGGTGGAGCCCCAGGCCGGAAGACGCCGCCGCCAACTACTCCCTGCTCTACTACACGCCCAATCATCTCTTGACCGACAGTTGTGGCAACGAAAAAACTCAGCACCGCATGTTTGCGTGCGTGCGTTTGTGTCCGTGCGTTTGTGTCCGCGTGGTTGTGTGTGGAGCGGTTAGTAGGGGGCGCAGCTGGTGCATCTGCCAGTCATCTCAGTCGGTCAACCCCATGGCACCTGGGTCTGTCCCATGACCTCGTGTTAGCGAGCCTTCCGACACTTTCACGTGGCCTCAAAGTGAACGTGGCCTGGCACAGGCGACGTAGTGATATCGTCGTCACTTAGTGGCAAATGGCGGGTGTTGTTGTTGTTGTAGCGGATATCGCACTGCACTTCGAACTCGCAAACTGAGCTCAATTCCCGCTCACGGCCAGCGCCGGTGACGGTTATCTGCACCGGTCCTTGGCCTCCCCTAGGTTGACTGAACCTCAATTGAGTACCTGGTGCGGTGTGTAAACATCGCCACTGGGGAGACAAAGGCAGTAGGGCGTGGTGCTGGCCACCCACCCCATCGTGTGGCGTGCCGGCCTTCATAGGTGCTGCTCGCAAACAGCACTTGCCCCAACAGCCTGTTAAAGATACACGGGGGGGGGGGGGGGGGGGAATCTTGGTTTTGTCTTTGTGTGGTATTTGAGTCTAATAGCTCAATAGGCTGTTTGCAGGACTTGACACTGAGCTGTTAGTGTTTGCATAATTTCAGCAGCATTGGTTCAACACAAGCAAAACTCTGGATCGGTTTCAACATACAATGTCTCATTTTTTGAAGCAATGACGGTGAACTGCCAGATATTTATACGCAAAGGACCCTCTTCTCTTAGATACGAGTCCTCGCTCGATGCAAAACTCTACGACGCGCAACACAAAACACTCACTGGCGTCGTTGTACAGCTGGGATGAGGCACTGAATGTCGAAACCGGTCCAGAGTTTTTGCCCACGCCGAACCAGAAGTCTGCGCGGCTGACGTACCTGAAGGAGGTGATGTCCGCTTACTTACTCCGTCGCTTATTCATCCCCCCCCCCTCCCCCCGCAACTACAGCACCAACGACTCGGTGATGTGCGAGTGCCCGGACTACGAGACGGGAGGCCTCAACAGCTGCTACTTCAACACCACCTTCACCTTCCTCTTTCGCATGTACTGCTTCCTCATCTGGGACAGGAGTCGGCCCGACATAGACGGACAGCAGCAGTTCTGCACCACTGTCGCAGACATAAGTGAGTGGCTGCGGCGGGGGGCGGGGGGGGGCGGGGGGCGCGGCACTGATGTCATTGCTCAAATTTCACTCGCCGTGGAGGGCACCGATGCCATCGCTATGAGAACGATATATAATCGAGCGTTGGTCACACCTGCGCTCCTCGAGTTGCAAGCAGGACAAGTCTCCTCGACGAGTAGGGGGCAAGCGGCTCGCAAAGGAAGAGAATCGCCTCGCTTGCCCGTGAATCCTCCCACGGATTCACCGCCGAGCTTCTGAGTTCACGAGAGTTTCCCGGTTGTTGTTTATCACGGCCGCGATTTTGTTTAAAAACGAACCGTGGCGGTTCGTGCGTGCGGCGGGCGGGGGGGGCGGGTGGAACTTGGCAGACCCCGACGACGACCGTTGTTGTGGACTTTGCGTGTTCACCTCCAGCCCCGCGGATTTTAACGATCTTTTAACAGCCGCCACCACCGCCGCAACCGCACGTCTCCCGGGAAGGGGGGGCGGTAGTGCAGATGGGGGGGGGGGGCAGGCAGGAGTGCGGTCTGCAACAGCAGCAGCGGTGGAGAGAGAATGACCCTCTGTTGGGGTCAAGTGGTGTGTGGAAGTTTTTTTTATTTAAACACGGTGGTGGCGGCCACTCGGTAAACAGCGGAGGTGTAATCATTCACCCCCCCCAACTGGCCACGGCCTGCGGTTCGGACGCATCCTCAACAGTTCAGGCTCGCCTTTTCGACTTCTGTAGTTTTCACGCAATTTTTATTTTACGAATTATATTTTTTTACTTAACGCGGATTTTTTTTTGCTTGCAGCCTGTGTTCAGATTCACGATTTTTTTCCCGGCCTTCAGGGGTTTTTTTTTGCGCAATGATCCGGCCGAAATAGAAACCTGCGCCATAAAGCCCTCGACCAACCCGTTATCATCATTTCAGCTCGCTTGCCGGTGAAGTTGACGACGAACAATTGAGCGGTGGTTTGGGCGCGCACGTCGTGTCGCTGATACTGTGTCTTGAGTGTGCTTCGAGTGTGGAAAGGGAAGAAGAATCCAGGAAATCAAAATCAAAATAACGTTTATTCCCACCGCTATTTCATTCTTCCGATCGTGCCGTTCGGATTCACGTCGCCGGGGGCGGAGAAACCACTCGGATCTCTCGCGCGGCACGGCGACCCTGTGCGTTCGAGAACGGCCCCGCTGAAGTGGATATCACAGAGCTGCCTCTGAGATCCCTTCAGGTGGCCTCTGGCTGGTTTTAGATGGTAGTAACGCTCAGCGAATGATCGGATATGGTATGTATGTATGTTGAACTTCTTTCGCGCCGTGCGTAGCCAACCATGCTAATCGAAAGTGCGGGGAAAGGACGACAAACTAAACACAAACATTTCGATTTAAAGCTTTTGTGACTGCAAGGATTCATCTTCTTTGGTTCTTTCGGTAAAAGTCACGTAGAATGACAATAAAATAATAAATTGATAAAATAAAATAACACAATAATATTCTCACGACGTTTCGGCCACAACACAAGCGACCTTCATCAGTAGCTGGTGATGAAGGCCGCTTGTGTTGTGGCCGAAACGTCGTGAGAATATTATTGTGTTATTTTATTTTATCAATTTATTATTTTATTCTCATTCTACGTGGTGACTTTACCGAAAGAACCAAAGAAGATAAACACAAAAAGTTATTTTGAAAAAAAAAAAAAGCACGTGTGTCGCCTGCTAAGCCAGAGGCGGCAAAACGCGCCCGAGAGGACGTCCACCACGTAGAGATGGAGCGACGAGATCGCCTCGTGCGCAGCGGGTGCCGGGTGAATCATTGCACCGTGGGATGGCGATGGCTTGGGGAGGCCTTCATTCCAGCTAAGTGGATCGACCATGGCTGCTGCTACTGTTGACGACGACGACGACGATGATGATGATGATGATGGATCTGCACATCGTGATGGCATATACTGTGTAACACAATCAAACCGGAGGCGCGGTGAGCGAGAGATAGAGCTGCCGGAAATAGCTTTTTAAAAAATACATGGTGGGTGTAGCAGCCACTTGTGGCTGCAGATGGAGGGTCACACAAACCCATCGCATACGACTACACAGCAACAGCTGCCATCAGAAGTGGAGACGTTCCAGGAGGCAGGGGGCGGCAGTCCTGAAACTTGAGGCTTTTGAATTGGGCCCTAAGTTAATAATTCCATGTTTTTTCTCCGGTAAATGTCAATAACATACCGATATTTTGCAGTCTCAAGGCAAGGTGGGGGTGGTGGAGAGGGGGCGGGGGGGGCTTGTGGAGGGGGTGTGGGGGGGGGTAATTACCAACATCATGGCCCTCTCACATCCGCCACTGGTTGCCTTTCACCACCAAGCGAGTGCGGTGAGCATCAGCCCAATCAGAGCCAGGTGTGCTGTCATCATTGTCATTACCATTGAGCCCATTCACCAGGAGAGAACCCATCGAGACAAGATCTATTACGGCCAGGCAGGAGTGAGCGGCGTGTCACAAAAGACAAAGATCCCCCGCGTAGCCTGCGCGGGCTGTCAGCGAGCACCTGTGAAGGCCAGCACCACGCCCAGGGCCACCTTTGTCTCCCAGGTATTGATGCGCGCGCACCAATAAGCATCAGCTACGGCTGCTCGTCTTAGGCTGAGTCGACCTAGAGGTGGGGGGGGGGAGTGCACCCAAAAGTGGTTGGTTCAGATAATCGCCACCGATCTTGGCCGCGGCCGGCCGGGAATCGAACTGGCACCACGGCACGGGCACGCGCCGCTCCGCGTATTTGTCCCGTCCGGCACAGAGCGCCGGCGATCGGTAGAGGCGGCGCGGGGCGACGCGTCGCCACGCTGCTTGTGTCGCGCTCGACGACGATAACGCACACTGTAGGCTGCTGGCACCGCCACGCTCCGACTGTGCCAAGAGCTGAAACTGCGCTACGCCATAGGAACTGGGTGAGGGGGGAGAGGCGGTGGTGGAGTTGGAGCTAGCGGAAAGAGACGGCCGAGGGTGTGGGGGGGGGGGACGGTGCGAGGAGACTGAGGCAGGGGGGCGGCTATCACGGGGTCAAAGTTCGCGCGGAAAAGCATGGGACAGGGCAGTGGGCACACGCACGTGCTCACGCGGCAAGCCCAACGGCGCCAGTCCGCGCGGGTCAAAGGTCGGTGGTAACGGTGGATAACGGGGGGGATGGATAACGGAGGACGCGGTAGTGATTAACGGGGGCTTCGTAACCGTCCACACATGTTGCACGCCCCCCCCCCCCGCCGCCGCGCCTCCCCGTCCCTCCCCTCCCCACAATGTCCCGCTCACAACAGAGCAGAATGGGCAATAATAATAAAAATAGTAACGCGTTTTATTGCGGTAGAAAGTCAGGAATTCAGAAACGGGAGAGAGCCAAAGACAATACGGGGCGTACACCCAGCTTCCTTGGCACAGGCTGACCTGGTGTGCATAAAGCTCGTTAACGGTGCGGTCATGTGATTGTGATTGTGTGTGTTGTGGGGAGCGGCGGTGGTGCAGCGTTAGCGCGACACGCTACGAACCCGTCGACCCGAGTTCCTTTCCTGCGCGCGCCGGCCACCATCTGAAATGGACCTGGGCCTCTCGTAGGTCGACTCAACCAGTAAAATTAATAGCTGGTTGCGGTGTGTGTACACATTGCCGCTGGGGACAAAAGGCGGCCGGGTGTAGTGCTGGCTACACCACCCCATTGTGTGGTGCCATTTTGGCCTTCATAGGTGCTACTTGCTAATAGCACTTGCCCCAACAGTCTATGAAGGCTATAGAGGGGATCTCTGTCTGCGTGTGTTGATTATGTGGGAGAGAGAGACTAAAAAAATGGTCCTTTTAAATGAAAATTACGGCCACCTCCCACATCCTGCCTCCCGAAGGCGGGAAACCCCCAACGAGCCACGCTCAGCGTGACCACAGGCCGGCGATGCCGATGACGTCACCAAGCCGCCCCCCCCCCCTCACCTCCGGCCCAGTGGCAAACTTCGCAGTCGGAAATTTCGTCCGTCCGTCCCCCCCCCCCCTCAAATTATTTTTAAGCTATCCAATCAGCTGAGTGGTCGAACTGATAATTAATCGGCAGAGTAATCGATCACTCAGATAATTCGATCGCAGCCCAGCTCTGGTGAGAGATGGTACAATGGGGACGGTTACGAACGAGACAAATCCAAGCTTGAATGCATGTTCATGATTGTTGTTATGATCGTTATTATAATTACCCAGGAGAGCCTCATCGAGTCCCAAGACTTTTTTTTTCAGGAGGGTCCTGCCAAGTTGTGGGAGACGATGATCGCTATATACATTCCAATTGAGTAATGATAACAATGATGACGACGACGATGATGATACATGCATCGAATCACATCGAATCAATGCTTTAAAAAGATACAATCTACTATGAAGGTCGAGAGGTTGGTCATCTTGGTTAGAGACGTTAATGCCACCATCACCGCACCTCATCGCAAGCGCTTTCTCCCCTCCGCCAGATCCTGCAGCTGCTGCAGAGTGGACTCACGGCAACCTGGAAGGTCTGCCCTGAGAGTCTGATCCCATCATCTGGCCTTAGACTCGCACAGAGACCCGTAGACTCGTGCAGAGATCCATAGACTCACGCAAAGACCCATGGACTTCCACTGAAACCCATAGACTCACCCAGGGACCTATAGATCTTCCCTGCACAGTATCCCACCATCTGATCACAGGTCTTCCCCTTGGCCACCGGACAGATTCGTGTAGAGTACTAAACGTTGCATGTAATGGGTTCAAGCCACTCATGCAGCCACTAGAGACGCTACCATTCACCGCGATGTTGCATTTACGGTAATGGTTGCAAACGTGAATCCAATCGTGACCTTGAATCGGTAAGATGACATGAAATTGCCAGCAGTTCCGCCCTTCACGAGTAGGGATCGAGACACAACAAGTATGTGTATAGACGGGTGTGTCTGTGGCGCATGTCAGGGAAGATGTGAAGCTGAGTGGACTTGCCGAAGACTGGTACCAGCGGTGTCAAGATCGGC